AAAAAGCCATACTTCTATTTACTTATAAATAATTCTAAATCCCTGAGGGGTAAAGCATCACACAGATCCTATATCGAACAGCCTTACTAGGAAACTTATTTAGAAATTTGGCACAAACCATGGTACTGTTTTTTTTTTTTCCCTCTGATTTTTTTTTAATTTTTTTTTTTTTATAGAGGCATGTTTTTTATTTATTTATTTGTTTGTTTGTTTATACATGCACTGGGTACAGTCAGAAGCGCGGGAGGGTGAGAGAATTCACCAGAGCCAGAGCGGGGAGCAGAGCAGGCAGAAGGATCGAAGTACACTGCTGAGGGGAGCAGCGGGCGGCAGGGGAGGTCTGTGCGCCATGTGGGACCCTCCTCCGGTGGCCGGGGAGCAGCCGAGGATCAAACCGGTGCTGCAGAGGCTGCGGGCAGCTTCGCAACCCAGCGCTCAACTGCTGCGCCACCGGAGAGGCCCATCATGGTACTGTTTTTATAGGCACAAGCTACCTTTCCCCAGATGACTCTGGTTTTTTTGGTTTGTCAGGAGTCAGTGTGTCATCCTTTGCTTTGTACATACAAGCACATGTCTTGTCTAGATAGAATTCAGTTTCATCTCAGGCATAAATATCTTCAATTTTAATGTTTCCTCTGGTTCCAGAGACCCCACCTATAGCCAGAAATAAAGGCCTTGTACTGTAGCCTTCCAGACATACTTGTCAATTTAGAAGTCCTTTCCCCAGTAGGCTTCCAGAGGCTACATGATGATGGAAGAAGCAGTTCGCTTTTCCTGATGCTTCTGATAGGCTCTTATTAACTGGCCAAGAATTCATGGTCAAAGATCTCTCTATAAAGAGAACGAACACTTGGTGTAAGGCTGGAAATTAATGGTGTGCCCAGTTCAAAATGGCAGATAGGACTCCCACATTTAGCTTTCCTTTTGTCCAAACTCTAATGAAATTGCACATTTTTAAACTAAAGACAAGAATTCGGGTTTTATTCTCAATTTTATGAGCTAGTTGACCAAAATTTACTAATTACAAGCATCACATATTGCTTTAATGGATATGAACGTAAAATGCTACTAGCTCCCATTTTAAATGTTTTTCCCAATGTTGTTTAGCTTCTTTGAATTTTTTTTGTTGTTCTTTAACTTAAAGATGACATCTTTTAGGAAAGTATATCTATTAAGATAAAGCTAACCAGGCCACAGCACCGTTTCTGGAACACGGTAGATGTTCAATAAGCATTGGCTGTTGTTATTATTGGCCTTAGCCTTGGAAGCCCCCTGAGGCTGGACAAGCAGATGTGGAGTATCACAGCCTACACCCTCGGTTATACCAAGCTAGTAACAAATAGAGCTGATCTGATATTTAAATGTCAACAATGATGCTTGGTGGCAGGGGGAAGTGAAAATGATGAAAAACTCAGGAAGTACGCCAAAACCACTCAAAATGTTTTCTCATTGGGGAGGTCAAGGAATGGCAGCATATTGTGAAACCATCTGTTTTTTGCTGAACAAATATTTGACACTGTTTCAGATACCTCTGGATACAATTTGCATTCTATCAGCTCCATATCTTACTCACTACGCCAATTGTTCTGCACAGGCTTTGTTGCAGCTCTATGTCAGTATGATCTGACAACCTCAGCTTGATCATCACACATACCCCTCTTTTCCTGCAGCAGGGATGCTCTGATGCAGAGCTCTAGGTTGCCTAGGGAAGCCTGCATAATACTCACGCATGTGCAAACTGGAAATATTCAACAAGTACTCTTGATTAAAGGGGCTCAAACCCAATGGAAATGACTCAGTGAAGGAAATATTGAGTGAGCATATGTATAGAATGATTTGTCCTGTGGAAGTAAGTCAGTCAACCTCTCCCCTCAACAACGGTGCTAGTGCAACAAGCCCACACAGAGAGGCTGTGGTGTAAGGACGGAAGTTATGCAGGAATCCAACAGGGGCTCTCTCTCATCAAGGCCCATTGAGATATTGCCACTGCTGAATGCCAAACCTACTAGCAGCAGAAATATATGTCAAGTCTCAACATAGCACCTACCTTCAAGGAGAAAATACAGCCATATCACCCTGGACCCCTACCACTTTACAAAGGAGGCCAATTCAACCTTAGCAGAATCAACACTTACTCCAGATATGGGGGGGTTTTCCCTACCAGTAATATTTCTGACAGTCCAATCATCCAAGGACTTACAGAATGCCTGCTAAGATAGTATGATATTTTCACAACATTGCCTTAAGCTAAGGGATGCCTTTTATCACAAATGATGTGAATCATTTATGGGACCCACTGGTATCACCATATACTTAATCATTCAGACGTAGCCAGACCAAGAGAATCACAAGATGGTAATAATTTAGCTAAGGGGATAACAAACATCAGGTTAGAACTTATCTTCCAGAATGCAGTATTGCACTAGACCAAATTCTTGTGTACTATGTTATATCTCCAGTATTTAGAACACACAGGAACCAAGGGGTTGATGTAGGATCAGCCCCTCTCTCCATGATTCCCAGTGATCTATTTGTGGTTCCCATGCTGCAACATCAGGCTCTCTGGGATACAGTGGATTATGCTCTGCTGGATTCTAGGGATGGGAAGGAGACAGGGGGAGCATAGAGAACAGGAGATGAGCCATTGTTTACTGAGATTTATATAAACTTCATGCAGGCGTCGTACATCAGCCTGTACCTTACAACTTTAGCTTCCCTTCCAGGTGCTTCTCTGATCCTGAGGTATGGAACACATGCAAGAACAGAACACACATGCATGAGCAAATCAGAAGTGTGAGGAAGTTAATCTGCAATCCACCACTGGCCAATGAATGGCTGTTATCATCATCTATTGCTGTGTAATGAACTACCCAATGCTTGGTGATACAGAATGACAAAGATTATTTTCTACTCAAAAGATTTATGGGTCAGAAATTCATGCAGGGCACAAGAATGGCTTGTTTCTGTTCCATGATGCCTGGGATCTCAGTCTGGGTCTAGCAGCCCCATATCTTATTCTTGCCACAAATATCAAGGAGTAACTCAAATGGATGGGTTTGTCTAGAGCAATGGGGTCCCGAGGAAACATAATGCAAGTAACAAATGTGATTTTGAATTTTCTAGCAGCCATATTACAAAAGTGAAAATAAACATATGAATTAATTATAATGATATATTTTCTTTAGTCCAGTATATCCAAGATATTATCATTCAACATGTAATCAATGTAAAATATTACGGAGATAGTTTATCTAGGGGTAGTAAATCTTTGATACCCAATGTGTAATTTATACTTTCAGAACATCCCAGTTTAGACCAGCCCCAGTAAAGTGCTCAGCAGCCACAAGTGGCTAGAAGTTATTACATTGGACAATTGATATCTAGAGCTTCCTCACCACTGTGTCTGGCACCTAGGCTGGTATCCTGAAGCTATGCTCACTGGATGTCTACCAGAATACCTGGGTTTTCTCCCAGCATGGCAACCTCAAGTTAGTCAGTCTTTTTACATGGTGACTGGGGCCGCCAAGAGCAGGTATTCCAGTGAACAAGGTCAACATGGCTTTTTACAATCTAGCCTCAGAGGTCACATATCACACTTTATTGTTTGAACCAATCACAGTCCTCCTCCATTCCAAGGGAGACAGCATAGATCCACTAATCCTTGAGAAAGGTGTTAAAGAATTTGTGACCTTCCTTAAAAAGTGGCTTGGGGGCCCTCTCTGGTGGCGCAAGTGGTCAGGACACAACCTATGAAGCAGTGTGCAGCCTCTATAGCACAAGTTCGGTCTCCGGCCACCCAGGGAGCAGCCCACATTGTGCAGCAGACCTCTCCTGACTCGCCCACTGCTCCCCTCAGCAGTGTACTTTGGTCAGTCTGCCTGTTCTGTTCCCCACTCTGTCTCTGGTGAATCCTCTCACCCCCTGCACCTCTGGCCTGTATCCCAACTCTTGTATGCATAAATAAATAATTTTTTTTTTTAAAAAGTGGTTTGGGGATAAAATCCAGACAAAATACTCTGAGACATAACTTCATGACTCTTCAAAATATCCCAGCAGAATCAAGCATTATCCCTGTCCCCCAACTAGTACAATCCTCCAATCTCTCTACTAAGAAAACTTTCCAAATTATCTAGCTTCACCCAAGAGTTCTCAGGCTCTGCATTCAGGGGAGCCCAGACTACGATAAGAACCTACCATATGCCAAACACTGGGGAAACAACAGTGAACAAAGATACAAACAAAAATCCTTTTGTGGTTTATGTTCTAGAAGAACAGACATACATTGAAAGAATTAGATGTAGCACTTAGAGAAGTGAAGCAGAAAGAGTGAGGAGAGTAGTAAGATGTGAAAAAAGAAAGCACGGGGACCAGGTCACATAAAGACTTGTGGACTTTTATAAGGGTTGAGATTTAAATTTGAGTGGGATTAAAAAGTCATGGGAGAATTTTGAATAGAACTGACTTATATGATTTCTATTTTAACAGGATCAGTATGGTTGCAGTGTTGATAATGGACTAAGGCTGTGCAAGGCAGAATACAGAGATAAGCAGGGATGCTTTTGCAAGAATCCTGGAGACAAGAATGGCTTGGACAGGGTGGAGAGGGTGGAGGTGGTGAGAAACAGTAATATCCTGGACATATTTTTGAAAGTAGAATCAACAGTATTTATTACAGGATTTGATGGGGGGGTGCTGAGACAAGGAGAGGAGTAAAATATCAGGGTTCTTCATGAAGAATAATGTGACCTTGTTAACATGTTAGAACATTCACTCTGATCATTACCCTGTAAAAGGTATTCTTGCAGTTGAAGGTAGGAAAAAAAACAACTTTGCTTTAGAGGATGAAATGAGTCTCCTAGGGGAAAGATCCTTTGTAAAATACTCTGTTTGTATCCATACGGCAGTTGGGAACGGCTCAAGTCATTCTTTGCCCTCTACTTCCTATTGCATTCCAGCCTTGTTCCCTTTTTTAGAAATAGCATGTTGACTATCATATGGGCAAAGAACAGCATTCTGACCTCTGCTCTGTGACTTCCTCATCCTCCTCTTCTTTAAATACAGGACAAAGTTGGAGTCCCAGGGAATCAGGGAGCGGAGCGCACAGGAGTCCACAGGCCAGCTCTGCCTGCATACAGGACGATGAAGCTCTCTGCAGCAGCCCTCTCCTTCCTCTTCTTTGCAGCTGCCCTCGGATTCGAGCTCCAGAACATACATCATGGTGAGTTCAATGAGCCTTCTCACTGGTGGTCTGGTCCAGTAACTTTGATCTGGGGAGGAGACAGTAGATACCTTTGTCCTCTTGTGATTGCTCCCTGTCCCATTCATGGATGTGAATTTGACACTTTTTTAAAAGCAGCTTCAGTCCCTGAAACTTGGCAAAAACTGTATAAAGATAACTGATCTGACTTGGAGAAACAATTCTCTCCCTTCGCATCACTAGAATCATTTGATACCTTCTCTTAGCTGACACAGGGCCATTAAGTGGTAGATCAAAAGAACTGTTTTAAATTGTAAATTATAGAAAGAAGCTTAGTTTTAACATTGTAGAATATTAAAATTATTATATGTCATCTAGTATAAAGCTATTATTTTAGAAAGGAAATGGGACAAATCAGGCAAGCGACTCACCCAAGTCCACCTGCCCATTGTGTTTATTTATTTTTAAAAATTACATATCTACTATTTCCTAGATGCAAGCAGACACTGTTCTAAGTGTCTTGTAGATATTAGCACATTGAATTCTCCTGAAAACCTGGTGGAGTAGATGTTCAGCAATTTATATAATTTTGCATAATAGTAATATTCTCATTTTACAAATGAGAAAACTAAGGCATAGAAACTTCATATAACTTATTCAAGATCATACAGCTAGTGAGAGGTGGAGTTAGGATATGAGCTCATTAGGAAGCTGTTATGGAAAGATAAGATCATTTAAGATTTTACTGTGCAAGCCCCCCCCCCACATCACATTAAGCATATTGAAGTATATATATACACTACCTCATTAAATATAACACATATGAACTACATAAGAAATGAGCTAAAAGTTTAGGTGTATTGGCCTTATTAGCATAATACATCTCCTTAATCTCTTATCTAAACCTTTGGAGTGAGATGTATTTAGGAATGCAGCATTTTTCAGATTTCCTAAGGTAATATAGTATGATCCAGCAATTCCAGCTCTGCATATACCCCCCAAAAAACTGAAAGCAGCACATAAAAAAATATTTGTAGATCCATGCTAATATCCATAATGGCCAAAAGGTGAAAGCAACTCAAACATCCATTTATAAATGAACAGATTTTTTTTAAGTTGTAGATACAACAATGGAATGTTATTCAGCCTTAAAAAGGAAGGAAATTCTGGCACATGTTACAACATATATGAACACTGAATATGTTATGATAACTGAGATAACGCATTAACAGGACACATACCATGTGACTCCACTCATATGAGGTATTAAAGTCGTTGAAGTAAGAAACAGAAAATGGGATGGTGGCTGAGGGATGAGATAGCTGAAGATTCTGAGACACAACTGCTTCCCAGTCATCTCTCTCCTCTCCTTGTCTGTTTCTCCCAAACAGAACCCAAGATGGCGACGGAGGACCTTCATTTCTCACAGCGTAAATGTTTAATTATGGTATATTTAAATATGGCATAGGCATATAAACCTGTGAGTACAGATCTGCCCAATGACTTCAGCCCACGTGTTTACAAGGAGAGGGCAGAGGGGAAGAGTCCGGAGGGTGGTGAACATCTCCTAGGAAGAACAGCAGGGGCTGTGGGCCCCTCCTCCATGGATGACCACTGTTCCCCCTGGCCATCCTGTCCCGAGAGTCAGCTCCCCTGGGGCAGACAGTGTTCTCTGCTGTCTCCTGCAGGGATTAGACCCTTCCCCCTCTGAGAGAAATGGTCCTGGTCCTGCTGTGTCCCTGCCTGGGTGCCTTCAGACACACAGCTCAACTGAGGAGAGTAAAGCAAGGAGATGCCAGCAAGTGCTAGCAGAGGAAGCAAACATCCCTTTCAAGCCCTGTCCCTTCTCATCCTCCCCAGCACTTCCAAGGAAAAAAGGGTCTAGTTGTCTTTAAAAGGAGAACTTTCTCTTACAGATTCTTTATATAGTGCTGCTGACTGCTGCTTCAACCTCATCAAACAAAAAATCCGATGTGCGTTCATGGAGGATTACTTTGAAACGTCCAGTGGGTGTCCCAGGTCTGCTGTCATGTAAGTGCCAAGCTCATTGTCCTGTCTTGGAAAGGGAGCAGAAATTTTTTTTTAATGTAATTTAATTTTGTATATATATTTTACATCATTCTTCCTTTTTGTATAATGCATGCTTTCTCCTCTCAGGTGTAGTCCCCACAAAATTCCCATCACCAATTCATCCAAGCACCATCAGGATAGTTCCTTGTGTGAGAACACATTCTCTCCCCTGTTTTGATCCCCCTCCCTCCCCCTTCCCTGCAGAGTGTCTCTGATTAATAGTTGCCTGTTAATTTTGTTTTTTAACTTATTTTAATTTTTTTCTTGGTCCCTAATTTGGTTCCCCTACATTCCTCCTATAAGTGAAGCCACCCGATATTTTTCTTTTTCCTTCTGGTTTATTTCAATGCTCATAATCCAGAAGGAGTGAAGAAGTTAATAATAAATGAGTTTCTGGAAAAGTCCCACTGGATCCTGCCAGGTCAGGGAGAGGTTGTGTCCTCATTAGAATCCTGCAGGAAATCAGGTATAAGAGGCTCCCAGTGGAGGGAGGTTAGGGAAGGAAATTGAGAGCAGGAGCTAGCCTCCCCAAGGAAACCCTCATGAGTCACTAAGGGGGACTCAGAGGCTGAAGGAGGGTCTCAGAGAGAAAATACCCTGAGTTCCTGTAGAAGAGAAGGGGAAGAGCAGACTGGGCTGAGTAGAGAACCAGGGGGCAGGGAAGATGGGGTTCCCCATCCCCATTTGCTGAACCCTCCTTGATTTGCAATCTCTCTCCCCATTGCTCCCCAGCTTCCGCACCAAGAAGGGGAAGACGGTCTGTGCAGACTGGCGTGGCAAAGGAGTTTTGGATTGCATGATGTCCCTGAAATCAAGGAAGCAGAGAGAATGGGAATGAACTTGATTGAAGAGAAGGATACTAGGTGCCTCACTTCACCTCCAGCTCTCTTGCCTCAATACTTCCTGGGACTTTCTTGGCCTGAATTACTTTTCTAAAAGCAGCAATTACTATTCTGTTCTGGCTATAAAATCAATGCATTAATAAAGAGTATTCAATTAACTATGTTTGAACTTTATGAAGAAAAAGAAACTGTGGGAATTGCCGAACTTTGGATTTATGGCTATTGGTGGTGTTTTGTTTTTTTTTTAAATGAGAAATCATAGCACGATTTTCTTAGAGCTAAAAGCATGATGCATTCAAATATAGAGAGACTATGTCAACAATGTATTTAATGTATTAATGAGAAAACTGATTCAAAGATCACCTGAAGAGCAGAAATTCATCTAGTTGTTGGGGATGGCATTCTGAAAGGTTTATTAGAGAAAAAGATTAATGTCCTATAGGGCAGTAAAACTGTAACTTTGGGGATTATCTTTTCTACCAGATAAAGATCATTTGCCTCTATGCTAAACACAAGTGTTAGATACAAAATTTATAAGTTAACATATAATTTCACAAAACCTGGGGCCTGATCAATAGTAAACAGAACACCAATCAAAAATTTGTTCTCACTGCAGATTAAGCCTCCTGGGGCGGGCCCCTCAGTCAGTGTTCCAGGTGACATTGGACGGTCGCAGTTATCCTTTTGCCTTGTTTCTACATTGTGGATGCTTTTTTCTTAATAGATACACCTTCCTAAAAGATGTCATCCCTCCCCCGTGGTACAGCGGGTTGAGCACAGCACTGTGAAGCTGTCTGCAGCCTCTGCAACACGAGTTCAGGGGTTCAATTCCCAGCCGGCCAGGGAGATTACCACATGGCACAGCAGACCCCTCCTGTCTCGCCTGCTGCTCCCCTCAGCAGCTCTCTCTTGGTGAATTCTCTCACCCTCCCATGCCTCTGGCCTGTACCCCAGTTCTTGTATAAATAAATAAATCTTAAAAAAAATCATCTTTAAAGTTAAAGAACAAAAAGATGTTAAAGAACATTGGCAACAACATTTAAAGTTGGAGGTAATCGCATTTTACATTTATATCTGTTAAAATGTGATGTTTACAATTATTACATCTTGGTCAATTATCTCATAAAACTGACATTAACACACTTAATTCTAAACAAATGTATTTATTCAAAAAAAGTTTAAAACCTATGCTTGGGCCTCCCCGGTGGCGCAGCGGTTGAGCGCTGGGTTGCGAGGCTGCCCGCAGCCTCTGCAGCACCGGTTCGATTCCCGGCTGCTCCCCGGCCACCAGAGGAGGGTCCCACATGGCGCGCAGACCTCTCCTGCCGCCCGCTGCTCCCCTCAGCAGTGTGCTTCGGTCCTTCTGCCTGCTCTGCTTCCCGCTCTGGCTCTGGTGAATTCTCTCACCCTCCCGTGCTTCTGACTGTACCCAGTGCATGTATAAACAAAACAAACGAACAAACAAACAAATAAATAAATAAAACATGCCTCTATTTAAAAAAAAATAAAATAAAATAAAACCTATGCTTACTTTTTGGGTGATTTGCCATAAGGAATCAATAGGAACAAAACCCTGATCAATAGCCAATAGTCTTTTATAATATGAATCATCATTAGAAAAAAAATTCTGAGACAGTGGTTAAAGCTGACGATTACTATAACCCAAAATAAGATTAAACACAAACCCACACTATGTCTCATCTTACCCTCCCTACTAAAATTGCTCATCTCTGCAGGTTTAACTCCAGTGAAAGGAGTTTTCTTTTACGCCATTACTTAGGAGTGGAGGGATGGAGCGGAGATGACTGGAGCTAAGGGTAGAGCACAGATGCTTGCAAGTTAAACAAACATTTCCAGCAATTCTTATGCAGTGGTCCTGGGACCTCCCTTAGAGATGCCATTTTTGGAGGTGTGGGGAAACTGGTGGGCCTGTGGAGGGAGAGTGCTTTAGTATATTTTACTCCTTGGGAGTGTCTTTTCTTTTTCTCAGCCTAAGTGGAAATCCCTACTTCCCTGCTTCCAAGTGCAGTTTCTGATATAGGAGCCCTGGCTCTGGTGGGTGAGAAGGAAGCAGGGCTGGGGCTAGCCAGGCTTTCACTGACATTATTTGCAAGTTCCATTTCTAGTGGGTGGAGGCAGTGGGCCTTCTTGCCTTGGAGCAGAAGTTATCCAGCGCCTTGTCCAGTTCTCTCTCTGGCCCAGTGTCCCCTCTGGAAGGCTACAACAGACATCCTTCTTTATTTAGAGAACTGTTCTTGGAGCTCTATCCTAGGGCAAACCCTACACCTGACTCTTCTGAGATGGGGACTCACATGATCATAGCTTGATTTTCTCCCCTAAGCTTCTCCCAATACCCACTGAGGCCTCTACTGAGAAAATGTTTATTCAATGACCTTCTCCATCACTTGTAGGTGGATACAAGTTTTGTTTTGTTTTTTAAGATTTTATTTATTTATACGAGTACTGGGGTACAGGCCAGAGGCGCGGGAGGGTGAGAAAATTCACCAGAGACAGAGCAGGGAGCAGGACAGGCAGAAGGACCGAAGTCCACAGCTGAGGGGAGCTGAGGGGAGCAGCGGGCGAGGCAGGAGAGGTCTGCCCCACCATGTGGGAATTTCCCTGGCCGCTGGCCGGGAATTGCACCGGCGCTGCAGAAGCTGTGGACAGCTTCACAGCACTGCACTCAACCTGCTGCGCCATCAGGGAGGACCGGATACGAGTTTTTTAGGCTCTTTTGCTTTGCCATCAAGCTGACACATATCCTTTAGATAGAACAGAAATTTCTCATCTTATGGTCAGCGTCTTTCATCTTTACTGATTTCCTACTGCTATTATTAACTTATTTTCATTTCATATTTCTTTTCATTTCAATGGGATTTGGGAAGGCAGAAGCAGCAAACACAGGTGCTCAGGGTTCTGACCTACATTTTGACCCATTTATGATCTTTCCTGCTGCTCACATTACTTCGCTTGAATTCTGTTGAATTCAGAAGCTTTGAGTTACACCAGCCCACGGAGTTCTGGAATATAAGGCTGAGTGATGGCTGCCGCGGACCAGCACAGCAGTAGATGATGAGGCCGCCTCAGGGTTGAGAGAAGCGTGCAGGGTGGTCAGGGCATCGGCGAAAGAAATGACAAACAGACACACTTCAAGAGAGTGAAAATCTGAGTGTAATTTTCTTTGAGTTGGTGACCACTATATATATGTTTTCTAAAAGCACAGGAATGGCGAACATCAGTGAAGAAATCAGCTTGCTTATAGGTTTAGCTTATCATTGACAGAGCAGTGATTTACATCTGGACCCAGGCGCATTCCTAAGTAGTTAGGCTATTAATTTTTCTTTTTGTTTTATGTGATTACTTTTTTGTTTTAACTACTCACTACCACTAAATTACTATTAATTAGCACGGGTGAGTTTTACTTTTCACAATGTAATATTTTTATCATTAAGATTAATGCTAACAAGACTAAGCATACAACAGAGAAATTATTAAGCTAACAGTTCCATTAATACACAGAGTTTAGTAACGTTTCATTTGACTTAGCCTAGTTATTAGATTTCGTATGTTCTTTTTTAATCAGCAAACCAATGACCTTTTTAGACAGAGAAAAAGAAAAGATTTTAGAAAGAGAAAAGATTTTAGAGAGACAGTTGTATTAGAATAAAGTTTGTGGGCCTTGAGAAGGCGAGATAAGGTTCCTTGCGGTCAGCATTCCTGTAGTGGCTCCTTGGGGTCGTTATCTTTCAACAGGCTTCCGTCTTATCTATGTCTTGGGGGGGGGGGGTTGCTGTTTTTCCCCCTGCTTCAGGGAGTTTTGCTGTTCTCCCCCTGCGCGCTGGTTCCTTGCCCAGCCGGACCTAGGGACCATGGCGAAAGCCATTAGCCCTAAAGATCACTGCAGGGGGAGGTGCAGCAGATGGCAACAGCGACTTTGGGCTTCTCCATAGAGCTATTATTTCAGAGCCTTGCAGAAAAATCTCAAAGAGATGTTGGATTGAAACTGTGCTAGACCTAAGGAGAATGTGTGTGGTTTCCTTGGGTCCTCTGGCTGGTCAAGAGCATGACCCTCTGAGCTGTGTGGATGTCAGAGGACCAGGTATCTCCTAATAAAGGCTTTGGGTCATGACAATGGCAGCTGAAGAGAAATAAGAGATAGAAACTGAGCTTTTCCCTTCTCCTCAAGCATCTGTCATTCCCAGAACACTTTTAAGATCTTGGAGGGGACAGTAGCATATTGCATCTAGGTCAACTGCATAATACTCCCACTTTTCCAGTTCCTCAAAACAGCATGTGCTTTTCTGTTTCCTTGCATTTTGTGGTGCCTCTGTCAGATGCCTCTCCTCTCAATTTCGTCCATCCTGCAAGGTTCAATAAAACCTTCCGTCACCATCCCAGCCAGAGCCTAGATCCCTTCCTATGGAATCCTGAGAGACACATTTATTGTCATCTGAACAGATAGTTCTTGAGTGGCTACTTCATGTCCTACATTATGGTAGACATGAGAACAAAATAAACCAGATTCCTACCCTTCAAGTACAGTTCAGTGTATAGAAAAAACTGAAAATAAGAGTATGACACTTGTGCACAAGAATCATATTTAATTCATCACTAAATTTCTAAAGTATTACACAACGCTGGAGTAAAATAATAAGGCTGTTTATATTTGAGGTAACCAGCCTGGGGCTCATGCCTCTCAGTCCCTTTCAGGCTGCCTAAGAGCTGAAGAGGCCACTAGGTCAAAGCAAAGTAGTCAGGAACCTCACTACAAAGCAGGGCTTCTGAAACTAGCATGCGTAAGAACCACAGAAGGATTTCAAACTAGTGGGCACGCCTAGGAATCAGGGGGTCTGCTAACACAGATTGCTCAATCTCACCCTCAGAAGTTCTGCTACAGTAGCACTGGTGTTGGGCCAAAGAATCAGCATTTCTAACCAGTTTCCAGGTAATGCTGATGCTGCAGGGTGGAGTGGAAAATTGAAGAGGAACTCTCACTCTTGTCTTTGTAACTCCAGCATTTTTTGGCAACTGTGTAAAAAAGCACATTGTTCCTTAGGAACTAAAAAATAATTTCATTAAGAATTAGAAGAAAACGGGCCTCCCCAGTGGCGCAGCGGTTGAGCGCTGGGCTGCGAAGCTGCCCGCAGCTTCTGCAGCGCCGGTTCCATCCCCAGCCACGGGGTGAGGACCCCACATGGCGCGCAGACCTCTCCTGCGGCCCGCTGTTCCCCTCAGCAGTGTACTTCCTCAGTCTGCCTGCTCTGCTCTCCGCTCTGACTCTGGTGAATTCTCTCGCCCTCCAGTGCTTCTGACTGTACCCAGTGCTTGTACAAATAAATAAATAAATCTTTTTAAAAAAGAATTGGAAGAAAATGAATCGTCATTGTCTTTTCAAGGTCAAACAACTAAATGCACTCGATCTTGACTTGGGCTTATATTCGATTTTTTAAAAAGATTTATTTATTTATGCATACAAGAGCTGGGGTGTAGGCCAAAGGTGCAGGAGGTGAGAGGCTTCACCAGAGACAGAAAAGGGAGCAGCAGGTGAGATAGGAGAGGTCTGCTGTGCCATGTGGGTTAGCTCCCTGGCAGGGATCGAACTCATGCTGCAGTGGCTGCAGTGGATGTAAATAGGTTAACAGTGCTGAGACTTAACCCCTTATGCCACCAGAGAGGCTCTACTTGATATTTTTATGGTAAGATTTATCAAAGCTGCTTAATTATTAAAAAAGTAAAACAATTGGGGAATGTTTAAACATGGCTAAGTAAGTTTGAAAATCAATTTCAATTTTTTAAAAGTAAAAGTCTTGGAAGTTGCACAAAATAGCTCGGAAAAAAATGTGCTTGGAAGTTGAAAAAAGAACAAAAAAAATTTAACTACAGCTGTATAGAAATCATCAAGACATAAAATAGCAGAGGGAAATATCCCTATTTTTACGGCTTCACTTTTTTTTACTGTTTCACTTTTAGAACCACAGAAGAATTTTAAGAACTCACCCCCTTTTTCTTGGTATGGACCAGGGGACTCAACTGAGGACTCAACCATGGCAGAGGGCATGAGCCTCAAGGCTGAAGCCAGTGGGGCTGGGACTGAGGATACAGCCCATGTGGCCAGAAGATATGTTACATAGAAGGGAAGAAGCAAAGTAGTAAGGATATTGAGGTTAATGGGAAACAGGTGCCTCACTGCTAGCGTAGGCAGGGAAACATATAGAAAGGAGGAGACTAAAATAAACCTTTTGGTGTTGACTTGGAATTGTTTTCCATATAGCTTAGACAGGTGATCTATAAATTGCTTTAAATGTATAAAATCAAAATTATAAGTGAATTCACACACTTAAGCCTATATGCTTCAATATATTTCCTAGTTCTGCCTACTAAGAGCTCAGATCTAAAAGCAACACCATTAACATAGTACTGATCACACTCAGCACCCATGTCTTGGTTTCTCAACCGTCTCTCAGTTTCCTCAACTGCTGATATTGAGATTAAAGAGACAAATATTTATAAAGCCTTTGGGACCAAAGCTAGTGTGTATAGCAATGGTTATATAATGCTTGTTAAATAAATGACCCACAGAGCACATGGCACTATTTCCCCCAGGATATGGTGAGGGGTGGGAGGCTGGGGGCTAAAGGTTCTGCTTAAGACTTTAAATAAGGCTTTCCCAGCCTCATCCTGTGAACCAAATGCCCTCAAATCTCCAGGTGAACAGATCCTGATTCTCCATCCCCACATGGCCTGGAACTGGAATTGGGCACAGGACACATCCCAGGCTTGAGATCTTTTGCCAAGTCTAAAACAGAGCATCCCAGGCCCCGTGCTCACGGTCTGCTCCTAAGAAGGCCTTATATCAAAGGAGTTAATCTGTTCCCATTGGGAATGGGAGACAATTTCCTCCCTGAAATCTTGGCTCTCTATGCTTCCTTCACCCTCAACAAATATGCATGTGAAGATAGGATATGAAATCGCTGAGGCATCCACTGATTCCTACTTCCTGTTGAAATCTTGGTTCCCTTATTTAAAAAAGTACTTCGCCTTGATGGTCATTTCTCAACACCTCCTCAGCTCAGGAGCTTCAGAAGCCCTCGCCAGGCCGGCTCTCCTGCAGCGGCTCCCCCCACAGGAGGATGAAGATCTCCGCAGCTTCGAGCTCCCTCCTCTTCCTCCTCATCACCGTCACTCTCGGTTCCAAGACTGAACCCTCCTCACGTGAGTGTAATGCCTTGAGTGCAAAGTCCACGCTTCCTTCCCATCCAAGCCCCGAGGGGAAATAGCAGAGTAAGTTTGCAGGGGATGCAAGCTGGAGGAGGCCTGGAAGCAGGTCTGGTGTCTTGTTAAAGTGATTTCATCCTCACCCAGGACCAGTCCCCATCCCGTCAAGGCCATGAAGGGAGGACAGCCTGCCTTTCCACTCCCTCAATTCATTTTTCTGTCGTTAAGCAAAAGGGCAGCCATCAAATTTGGGAAGATGTCCCCAGGGAGAAATAGCACATGGAGCCCCTCAAGGCCACTCTGTCAATTTCCCTCCTGAGATTTGGGCCCAGCAGTTTGGCTCTACCCTTCCATACAGCACAGCTTTGGTGCTTAGGTAGGGGCTGGTGTGCTACCTGCACCACATTTGCTCAGTTTCTTTTTTTTTTTAAGATTTATTTATTTATGCATACAAGAGCTGGGGTACAGGCCAGAGATGTGGGGTGACAGAGGATCCACCAGAGACAGAAGGGGGAGCAGAACAGGCTCAGATCTGCTGAAATAGACTGCTGAGGGGAGCAGCAGGCAAGACAGGAGAGGTCTGCTGTGCCATGTGGGTTTCTCCCTGGCAGGCCAGGGATCGAACTCATGCTGCAGAGGCTGTGGATCGTTTTATAGTGTGGTGCCTAATCCCTTACGCCACCAGGGAGGCCCACATTTGTTCAGTTTCTTAGGATGAGCTGCCTTTACAGACAACTAAAACTCACCCTTCAATTTTACTTCATTTCTTTTTTAGAAACTGAAGGGAAATATAGAAGGCAGTTGAAATAAAGCTAGTCTAAAGTAGTGGGACTCTCAATAGTTTCATTTGCCTCTCTGAAGTTATTTGTTGGCTCAGGGAATGCAGTGGGGGTGGGTTTCGGGGACCAGAGGACTGTGGCTCCATTCTTCGGAGAGTGGGGATGCCACCTGGACTGATGCTGGATAAGACCTTTCCTTCTCCACCTAAGTACCTGGCCACCCTCCGTGACCTCAGGCCACTCCTGTCTGTCCAGGCTGGCCACCCAACACTCTCACCCTCATTGCTCCCCTCCATAGCCAAGGCAGCTGCTTGATTGTACAGGGCCCTTGGCCTGAAAGGCCCTTCTACTTCCTCCATAATTCAAGCTTGGTGTGATTTCACTGTCTCTCCCACACAACTGCTATATAAGCTATGACATTTCAGAATCAGAAGACAACTAATCACCCAATCTAGTGACTTATTTTTTAAATGTGTATCATACAACCTTTTCTTCAAGCAAAATCTCACACAGAGGTGCTATATGTAAACAACAGCAAAAAGGGGCTGACTGTGGGCCTATACCCAAGACTCTACACTCAAAATAGTCCTGAGCTCACAGAGGTCCCAGGAAGTTCAGGGTAGAAGTCACCAACCAGCCCAAGGGCCTCACTGACAGATGAGACACTGAGAGGGAATAAAGTAGAGGGTACAGAGCCCTCAAGGACCAGGGGGGTTAGAATGTGAGTATCCCAACTCCCTGGCCACTGGCCTTGGCCTTGGACTTTTTGGAGGGCATGAGTTCAAGGGGGACATGGGCGGGATGGGGGGACCCAGAGGGACTGGGTCTGCAGCCCCAAATGGCATGTGTCTCAATTCCTACTGGGATTTCTTCCAAATCTTTCTCCTGTTGCAGCCCTCTGCGCGTCTGCCCTCTGGGATGGTATGTGCCCACTAAGATTTGGACTTTTCTCTCTTTCAACGGGAGTTGAAAGTCACCAACCAGCCTCTCCAGGGTGGGTTTCAAGAAAGGGAAGGAGGGAGGCTGCTGCTGAAGGAGAAAAAGAGGAGCCCTTGATTGGGTCTCTCCACAGCACTCTCTGAATCCTATGGAGCTATCTCTCTTCCTTCCCTTTCCTTCCTCCTCAGGGTGCAGACGCAGCCAGCAGACATGGCCCTTAACAAGGGACCCAATCTCAGCTTCCCTGCCTGCTCTCTCCTCAGGAGGACCCTACCACCCAGCTGAGTGCTGCTTCAACTACATTATCCACAAGGTCCCACGTTCTCGGATTACAGATTATTATGAGACCAGCAGCCAGTGCTCCAAGCCTGGAATTGTGTAGGTGGCACACACTCTACAATGGGGGAGAGGGAGCAGCAGGGTGAGGGGAGCCAGAATGATGGGGACTGCCCGGGGCAGTCCTCAGGTATGTGACAAAGGGAGTAGTAGCCAAGGGCCTTTTTGGCCTGACTGGGGCCAGAGGCAGGGAGGAAGCTGGGCTCAAGACTGGGGATCCACAGGGGAGGGAAGAGCAGGCTGGAAAGCATTTCCTGGGAAGGGACCCTGAGGCTAGATGGGCCCAGAGGTCCTGAGGGACTGAAGAGTGTGATTCAGAGAGGAAAGCAGGCAATGAGCTGGCTCTACAAAGAAAGGACAGACAGTCAAGGCCAGATGAGGAATTTGTGAGAATGGACTCTTACTTGCCAGCTGCCGGACCTCATGGTTAGTAATCCTCCTCCCTCTTGCTCCGTAGCTTCATCACCAGGAAGAGCATTCCCATCTGCGCTGACCCCAGAGAAGACTGGGTCCAGGACTACATCACAGACCTGGAAGAGAAATGAGTGATCCAGAAGTAGTGGAGAAGGGCACAGCTGGAATCTTAAAAAAAAAAAAAGGTCAAGGTACCACTGTCACCCCCAACTCTTAGCCCCAGTCACCCCAGCCAGCTGCCCTGCCCTGAATTAAAGACAATTCATCACTCCCTGCCTTCATTCATGTCTGCTCAATGCCCCCATCGACAGTGGACTGAGGACACCTGGGGTGGCACCTTTAGCATCAAGCCCTGCTCTGCAGATGTTTGGCTGGAGCCCAGTGCAAACAATGGGTCAGCCTACGATGGGGGATAGGGGGAGCTGGCAGAAAGTGAGGGAGGCACTCGGTGTAAAGGCCACCTCCCCAATAATCACAATAACAACGGATACCATTCTCATCAGTCCAGGCACTCTGCTGAGCAGGCTTTGAAGATGCTTTCTTATTTAAGCTTCACACACATGGAGTTAAGAATTATCACCTGATTTGGCAGACACAGATAGCATCAAAGCCCACAGTCCCCTTTTCTGTGCCACTTTTAAGGTCTTTGTTCACTGCTATCTGGGATGGGAATGATCCACAAGAATATATTATCCCCCCCCCCAACTTATATACACCTCGTTGTACTTCATTGTTATTATCATTTTTGTAACCCTCACAAGTCCTCGCAGAATGTCTGGCCCATACCAGCTGCTCAGGAAATGGATGGATGATGGCTGGAGGAATGGATGGATGGAGGGATGGATGGATGGATGGATGGAATGAAACAGGAATCAAGGGGAGATTTATGCTCACAAAATAACACCAGCTGCCCCCAAAGTCTCTCAGTGCCATCTTCAGTGCTCCAGGAGGAGCTTGGCACACATGGCATAAGAACATGACCAGTATAGGCACTGTGGCCTCCATCCCTGACCCATAGGCAAGAGCTGATAGGGGCCTGAGTGTCACAAGACACCACGTTTCCTCAGACTTTCTACCCTCCATGAACAGATATCAAGGGGGTATCCCACATTCATACCATCCCCACCCTCAAAAAGCCACCACTTCACCATACACTACCTTGAACCCACCAGGACTCAATGCATTTTTCATTTCTCCCTCATTATGAGCAGCCACACTAAACAGCAAGCCCCTAAGGATCCAATTTCCTGTTCTGCCCCTGCTTCTCTCTATTCTCAGCCTGGGCACCACCTCTTCTATGTCTCTAAAGTTCAACCTATGTGTTCAAAATTCTCCATATCCTAAATCTCTTCTCTGAATGCTGCCTTCAATCCTGAACAGGATCTTAGGAGAGAATGAGTCTAAGGAGAGAGGATGCTGAGAGACAGGTCCAACCCTGGCCAAGGTCAGAGGGGCAGAAGCTGAATCTGTGGGACACAGAAGCAGTTGTCAGGCCCATGCACGGTATTGGAGCCCTCTGCTGGTCATGATGGGCCACATGGCAGGTTGGGTAAACCTGTGCTGTCAGCATGCAGCCAAATAGACTGAAAACTAGTCCAGATTCATATTCAAATGAGAGTATCGGCAAGAAAGCAAAACACCTCAGCAACAAATGGGGACCAGTAGACCAGCCACATTGTCTTTTCTGCATATTAGCATAATCTTTGATAGGAAAGAGCATAAGATGAATCGTGTATCCTTGAACTGGGGATGAGGGACATCCTTTTCAGAGGCCACTAAATTCTATCCTTTGCTCAGTGCTTTCTCTAATCCTGCTTTATGTTCACCCTCCCAAAGACCCGTCACCTGGGGAGACAGGCCGTTCAACCTTCACTCCCCTTGCCCAACACAGATATGGCAGCAGGTAACAGGGTGAAGCAACCATCTGGTTTCAGGACTGCCTATCTGCTGCCTGCCCATGTGACCTTGAACACTTTATTTACCCTCTCTAAGCCCTAGTGGCCTCATTTAGAAGAGGAGTAATAACAATCACTCCTCACTACTGTGAGAATTCAGTCAAACAGCATGTGAGGACACGTTGCCTTAGCTAGGAAGTGGATGAGAAGTCACAGACGCCCTGGGAGCACAGCTGAGGGGGAGTTGGAGAGACAGGTGAAAGTATCATTTGGGGTTAAGTCCAGGAATGGGAAGTCTGGAGTGCAATCCACATGAATTGAATTTTTACTGGATTCAACTTTGCCCCAGTCCTGCCCTCTATCACCCCACCCCTTTCTGCAAAAAATGCCCAGGGAGGCCTGCTGTTTGTCCTCCTCTGCCCACTCTGAAGTGGTCAGAGTCCAGAGAACTGAGGGTTCAGAGTGGACAAGCAGCCACAAGGAGGACATCTCCATTCAGCTCTACCCTGAAGCTGAGCTGCCCCACTGACAGGATGAAGGTCTTCGTGGCTGCCCCCTTTCTCCTCACCCTCATCCTCACTGCTCCGACTTGTCACGGCCAGCCAGGTGAGTCACCTGTCCCTGCAGGGCAGGAATGAGAGATGGGGAAGGGACAGCTGGCAGTGAGGTGATGCCAGGCCTGTCACCAGCCCTGGGGCTTCTTTCTCCTGATACCCAGCTGCTGCCCTCAAACTCTCCCTGTTGTGAGCAGAGCAGCCCTGGTCTGGGGTTGAGCCATGCCAGGAAGCTGGGTCAAGGTGACTTCTGAAGCCTCGAAGTCTCGAGGATGGAATGCAGGAGTGACCATTTAGCAGGGGGAGGCGAGGCTGTAACAGGAGAGTTGTTAATAACCTTAGTTAGGAAGTGAATGAGAAGTCACAGAGGTTGTGGAGGGTGGCAGGGCTTAGGCTGACTTAGGAGCCAGCATAGGTTCGATGTGTACACCCAAGGCAGCAGGAGGTTTCGAAATCCTTAATCAGCACCTGGGTCAAAGTCAGGGAACAGAGGTCAAAGGCCTAAAGGACAGGGCCTCCCTGGTGGAGCAGTGGGTTGAGCGCAGCGCTGTGAAGCTGTCTGCAGCCTCTGTAGCACAAGTTTGATTCCCGGCCAGTCAGGGAGATTACCACATGGCGAGGCAGACCTCTGCTGCCTTACCCGCTGCTTCCCTCAGCAGTGTATTTCGGTCCTTCTGCCTGTTCTGTTCCCTGCTCTGTCTCTGGTGAATTCTTTCACCCTCCGGCGCCTCTGGCCTGTACCCCAGTGCTTGTATAAGTAGATAAATCTTTAAAAAAATAAATTTAAAAAATTGTAAAAAAAAAAAAAAAAAGGCCTAAAAGACAGAATGGAGTTAAAACAGGAAGCACAGCTCAGAGTGCCGCCAAGCTGAAATGGAAATGTCCTTATTTGTCTTGTCTTGTCTTTGGTTCATCAGAAGAGTTCAGAGATGTCACTATGGAAACCTCACTGAATATCTATACAAAAAGCCAAATCACAATTCCAGCAAGTAACATAAAACTGGCCAGAGATTCCTACTGGTTCAGAGCCAGAAGTAGTTTCCTTGGGTATATTCAATTGTTTTTAAAAAAGGATAATTGCTAGTCTTTTCAAGGTAGATGCCTAACTTTACACACACATAGAGAGAGAGAACACACCTCCTCGTTTTGATACATTGGTCTGTTTCTCCTACAATGAAGCCCCCACTCACAGAAACCTACACCCAAAGAGCTTACATGGCTGCCAGCCATGTAACACAGATGATCTAGTGGAGGGCTTAGAATAGTCTGCACTCCTGCATCAGAGAAAGGGGTAACTCAGGGTTGGTGAAGGTCACACACAGCAACATGAGGGAACTAGTGGACAGGAAGGGAAGAAAGTGAGGAAGCAACTCTGGGTAGTACAAAGAGCATTTAACGTGGAGTTGAGAGGTCTGGTCACATGTCCCCTCTGGCAAGCTTTCCATGGAGATTTCAACCAGATGACCAGAGAGGCTGAGGTTAGTTTGGGCAGACCTGTACAGAACATTCTTCAGCCTTTACAATCACCTTCCAAGAGAGGCCAAATGAGTGTGCACACCCCCCCCACACACACACAGGAGGAATGTGTACACGTACATGTGAGAGCACCACTGAGATTGGTCAGGAGCAGCCTGAGCTGGTGTTAGAGGGATACAGTTGATGCAAGGATTTAAAAACATTGGCTCAGACTCAGACAGACAAGGCTAGACTCAAATTCCAACTCTGTCACTTACTGTGAGGTCTGGGCAACTAACTACCAAACCTTTTTAAGTTTCAGTTTTCACGTGTGTAAAAGAGGTCCTGAGGTTGGGAGGATTTAAAAAAATGCTTAGCATTCAGTAAGTGATCAAAAAAATGGGACTTTTTATTTCAGTCTCTGACTTTTCTTTAGGACCATGGAAAGCAGAACAGAAAGGAATTTCCCCTCACTGAGAAATAAAGAAATTAAAATACAGAGAAGAAAAAAATGAGTTGCCCAACGTCACAGAATGAGTCACTAGCAGCTCTGGAATTAGAACTGGGGGCTGTATTTTAAACAGAAGAAACTTCTGATCTATAGAAACCTGAGGCTTGTATGAATATGGAAGAAATTGGGGTCATCTGCCAAATAGCTCAAGGCCTGAGGGCCTCCTTTCTCATGACCTGGGCTCCAGGGAGCAAGCTTCTACCTCATTATTTAGGCATTCTGTCATGGAGACTTTAAGAAGCAATGGGCAGATGCAGAAAGGGATCTTGAAACTCTCCTGAGCCTGGTGTTTATCAGCATTGGCCTTTTCCTCTTTCTACTAAGGTTTTTCTTCTGCAGAATGGAGTGTCGTGACCATTCTCAACCCCTAGAATAGTATCTGGAACCAGTTTTATACCAAAATGAAAAATGTTATTCTCTTAGCAGCTAGAACAAGAATCCCTCTCACAGAGGAAACAACCTTTGACTGTAGTAAACTGGGAGCCAAGAAAAGAAAGTAATTCAGGAAAGGGGTTTGGAAGCGGAGATCAGCATTCCCTGCCAGTCAGGGAGCCTGGACGGGGAAGTGTCACCATGGAGATGTCATTTTAAGCTGGGTCCTGAAGGCTACAGGTTTGCAACTTCTGAAGAGCAGTTCTAGGCTGACTTGATCTTAGGAAAATTGGTAGGGTGCACCACCTACTGGCTAAAAACCACAGAGACTAGTCACTGTGTTCCTTAAAGGATTCACATACTTAAATCTGTCTAAGAAGAGAGAGCATCCTGAGCTGGGATACTGAGGTGGCCCCTCCTGTGCCCACACCTCCCCAGCCTTACTTATGGTCTCCCCTTTTGCAGGGAGCTGAGCTTTTCAGTCCACACCTACTAGCATAGATGAAGACCTTGCTCTCATAGAACTTACATTTTAGTGGGAAAGAGATGCTATATCCAAATCAAATGGAGTGGCACAGGAATATTTGGGGCACTGAGGATAGAGAGGGGGAGACTTCACATAACAGTCAAGCAAGGGGTGACCTCATCCTTCCTCTGAGAAAATGATGAGATTCTTCGAACATGTTTACTGATAAACCTAGAACTGGTTGAGATCCCCAAACTACATTCTTCTAAGTTATAAAAAGGGGAGCAGTGACTGCATCTTTGATTAGGAAAAGGAACAGAAGCTTAGGACATTGTGATTTTTTCTTCAATTAGGGAAAAGCAAAGGATATGGCAAGAGCAGAAGGTCCTCCTATATCCTACAGGGCCCTCACTGCTCTCTACCTCCATCTTTTAAGTAATGGTAATAGACCTCCCAAGTCTCTAGGGCCTTGATTGACCTTTAATTCCCATACTAATGTGACAAAGGGCCTACTCTGAGCATACTGGGAAAAGTTTACCTGACTCTTTTGGGAGAATGACCCCACAGTGCAAAGGTCATAGATCTTGTTCTGGCCATAAATCTCAGTTCCGGCACTAATTAGGTGTTTGTATCAGTTAGTTATTGCTGCATAACAAACAACCATGAAGACTCAGTGGAATACAACGGTAAGTATTTATTTAGCTGGCTGAGGGTTGGGTCATTTAAACTGAGCTTGGCAGAAGCAACTCTGTTCTGCTGTCTGTGGATAAAGACTAGCAGTCCAACAAAGCTAGGTTTATGCAACTTGTTGTAAGAAAGGATATATACAGCATAAAATATGTTGAGAAGGAATAGAAAGGGCGGGAGGTTATAAGGCTTGGGTTTTTTCTGATGAGTCTGAAGAGGGACTAGAAGCTAGGATTAGCTTAGCAATTGGAGTCCCATCTATCTTTGTTCAGGAATGAATCAAGTTTGGGAAAGTCATTGGTAAGTAAGAATAATTACTAAAAATAAAGGAATTATTGCAATATGTTTTAAGCTACAATGTGACCCAGGACAATGCATTCTGTGGGTTTGCAGCTTCCCTTATCTGTATCTGTTATCTCTGTCTGATTATTAACAGGGTTGTTTTTTACTTTCTCACTTCTGAGCTGATATTGATACTCTTGTGTGTATTCTCTTCTTCCTGTGTCCACTGGGCTAGTCCAGGCATGTCCTTTTCATGTCAGTTACAGAGGGATAAGAGACACAATCCTAACCCTGCAATACTTTTCAAGGCTCTTCTTGGCCTCACCTGTTAAGATCTCACTGGGTTTGCTGCAGCAACATATGTACTGGGAAGATCTCATTGGCCAAACCAAGTTTCATGACTGAGCTTGAGTCAAAGTTGGAAAAATCCACCACAAAAATCACATGGCAAAGAATATGTTAGCCATTTGCTGGAAAGGAATGAAGAGTTAGAACAATAATCCATTTTACCACAAAGTGTGATGCTGGGCAAGTCTATCACTTCATCCCACTCTTTCTATAAAATAGTCCCTAGATTGCAGACAATTCAATAAATGAATATACACACAGAATACATTTGATATAGTAATCCCAAAATAAGCTCCCCAGGTTTCCATGCCTCTTTTCCTGCCTTAAACATCCTAGTTACATGAATCCCAGAAAGGAACATAGTTTAAATGAGAAAATCAAGATTCAAAGAGACTGAGTGACTCACCCAGGTCACATACCTAGTAAGAAGGGGGGTAGGGACCTTCCTGGTGGCCCAAGGGGTTAAGATGCAATGAAGCTATCCGCAACCACTACAGCACAAATTCGATCCCCAGCCAGCTAGGGAGCTACCCACATGGCGCAGCAGACCTTTCCTGTCTCACCCAAGGCTCCCCTCAGCAGTGTATTTCAGTCCATCTGCCTGTTCTGTTCCCCACTCTGTCTCTGGTGAATCCTCTCACCCCCCAATTCTCTGGCCTATATCCCAGTTCTTATATGTATAAATAAATAAATCTTAAAAAAAAAGAAGGGGGTAACACCCAACTCCCTCCAAAATTCAAGCCTTTACTCTCCACTCCACAGTTTTACAATGAAGTCCTAGAGTGGAGCCACTGGAATCTGAGTTGAAAAGAGCGAAGATCATCTGGGAACATATTATCAAGACTTTTGAATGGCATACAGAGGGATCTGAGTTTTGTTTTGTTTTCTTTATTATGAAATTAGGGGCTATTGAAGGGATTCAGAAAAAGCT